CCATTGTCAAGACGACCGGAGGCGGGATCGGACGCAGGTGGCCGGAGATGCCACGTAGTGCGGGTGTGATAGAGGCCACGGGTGGCTAGTGTCTGAGTCTGCACCTACGTATTTTAACAACACCTCTCCCAGTGTTCGGCACTTGTTATGAAAGCGCAACCCGAATAACGCCTGCCATGCTCTGATCTGACCCCATTTTGATCCAGCATACTCCAAACTCTAACCACAGCCGTAATGTTCGCCCAACGTTACCCTTAACCCTAATTTCACCACATCCCAGGCCTATATTTAACTCCAACACCGATCGTAGCTCTTACCTAACTTAAACTATTATAGTTATTTCTTTCGCGTCTAGTACAAAACCGTCTATACTACCGGCGGTTCCTTCTTTCTTAGATCATACAAGCTATTCTTACCGTTTTACTGCTCATTTGATCCGAAATGGCACAGCATTTTTTAAAATCTGGTTTCAGAAAAATAAAAAGTAAATTATTTCATTAAAAAGTGCTCCTACTGATACCACTGTAAGCTCCACACTTACACAATTAGCCTCTGAAATGCACATTAAAAAGGTTCAAAAAAATGAAAGCATTTGCAAATGAAATGGATTCAGAGATTTGTAATTCCCCTCATATCTGAAAAAATAGATGTGCAATGGTTGTTTACCGACCATAAAAATTGTTCCTTTGTAAGAAATAATGGAGTATTTAATACGACTAATCTTTCCTAAAAGCAGTTCAAGTAATGTTAAATCTCACCAAAGTTATAGGATCTCTCTGGTAAGCTCTGAGTACTGCGAATAAAATTCTCTTAGCAGCAAACCAAAAAATTAAAAATGCCTGTGGGGTGACCTATATCATCAATATTATAAGGTTCAAAGTTTTCCCTGCAGAAGTAGGAAACCCGAATGATGCTGACCTTGGGTATTTCATCCTTCCCCAGAAAAGCCATATCCACGCGCACGTAACCAACAGGTCCTTGGAGAGGATTTTTTGGATCGATAAGCACGGCCCATTTGTTAGTGAGTGCATGACCTTGAGGGAAGCAAGACACAGCTCGTCAGTCTCAGGTAGGAACCGTATAAAAAGCTGCCTAGCGGCGTCTTTTAAGATAAGAAAATTGTTGCCGACACAGAGTATACTGTGGGATAATCATTTCTCGCTTATTTACCGTCACCAACCCCTAAATCCGTTCCGCTTGGCAGCTAACTGTCTATTTTGAATTGACAACTCTATTAAACCTCAGGCCGGGTCCCTTGCCGGCGGCCAAGCCACATGAGAGTGGCACAAACAGTATATGCTGCATAAAAGAGGGCAATTGCGGCATCCGTTTGCTTTGAAGTTTTGGACTGTTAATCGATTAATTTTAGCCAATATTCAAAAGATATTTCCGTCCATGCCCCAAACGCCTGACCTCGTCTATCAGTATGTTTGGTTAGACAAGATACTGACATCAGATTGTAGAAACAATCAATCCAAAGCCAAGAGGGTATGAGAATGCTTAATTTTAAGCTTACCTACGATCAGGTGGTCCGGTCTCGAATCTCCTGTCTCAGTCAAATATTTGATGTATCGTTAAGGGGTTTTGGCAGACTTACGTAATTTAGTTGACCCAATTGTGGGATCAATCCAAGTCTGACTAAATTCACGGCGCAAGGCGTGGCGTCGTAGCTCAGATCGGTAGAGCGTTGAATGCGTATAGGCTTTCCCTGCTGTGCGGGTTCGACTCCCGCCGAAGCCGCGAGTTTTTTTCACAAGTGTATCAACTAACTTTGAGGTATCACTGGCTAATGACGGTAACTAAGGAAGTAATGGTCATCCCGGTACTCATTCTCACTTTCGGTACTATCTTTTAAGAACCAAATGTACTGCTTTAAAAAATTGCAAAGCATAAAATGATTATGACCATATACCTTTACTCTCGTAGATTGTGCGAACATCAATGAGAAATTCACCAATTAATTTCCCGGGTAATATACGAGCAACAAC